CTCTTCCTTTTCCGGTCAGCGGCCTGAGGTGAGTGTTTCTTTGGCGAGTCTTCCGAGTGGGGAATCCTCTGGTTATCGCTGCCATCCTGGCCTCGGCGGTGCCGATTTCGAGACCCTCGGGAGGAGGACTCTCGCGGCTACTGATTTCTCCCTGGGAGCGGCGTTCTGTGCGGGAAGACGTGTCGGAGTACCCCGCTTGGCGCCCCGGTGCTCTCAGGCCTCAGCGGGGCGCGATGGTTGGGAACGGGGCTGGCCGGGGGTATAGGCAGGCTGTGGTGGTTCCCGACTCCGGAGGCCCAGTGTCTTCGCGGTGAGTGGTGGCTGCTAACGCAGCGCATTTGTGGCCGCATCGAGAGAAATTTGGGGGGGGGGGGATAAAGTCAAGTAGGGTCGAGGCTTTTATTCAGTGGCTGAACGTTAAATGTGTCGAGTTCAGCGGCGCTTAATGCGGGTAATTGAAAGTGTGGAAAAAAGACTGGGTTACGTGTGAAGTTGAGTAAAGGAGGCTTCTGTAGGGGGAGCCTGTAGAGGGTTGTAGTGGGTCGAGTTAACTTTCGTCTGAAGGATCCAGGCTTGGATTGAAACAGGCAGTGTTTTCTTCCTGAGGGTAAAAGGAATGATATCCTTGTCACTAGTCTAGTGTTAGCACTGCTGTAGTCACTGATAGTTCCACACGGGAAGAAACAGTGGATAGAAGGATGGCTGCGATGATGGCATTTCTTAGGACACCTTTGGATTAATCATGAAAACAACTACTCTCTGAGCAGCTGCGGGCAGCGTTTAGTACATAAACCGTGTAAGTTACTGAAAATATGTTGACAGAATTATCCTTGCTCGTTTCCAGGTGACCTCTAAAAATGGTTCGCTATTCACTTGACCCAGAAAATCCCACAAAATGTAAGTGAACACGAAACATTTTTTATTTTGGAGTAAGAGGCAACAAGATGCCCAGAATTAACCAAAACTTTTCTTTTTGGTATTTTTTAGCATGCAAGTCGAGAGGTTCAAATCTTCGTGTTCACTTTAAGGTATGTGAATCATAGTTATGCTCTAAAAGAGTTGTTTCACGAGTTCTAGTGAGTATTTTTTAATCATTCTAAAAAGGTAGCTGCGGTGATGCATTTCTTAGGAAACCTTTGGATTTACCGTTAAAATAAATCGATTTTGAGTAGCCACCTTTTGGTCTGTGATCATCAGTATATAATGAGCACTTTGATTTAGGATTTGTGGAATTGGGTAAAACTACCAGAGAACTGCTTGAGAACCTAGTATACATATCAAGATACAGGACACGTAATTGTAGTTCATAAGATGATGGAGAACATATTAAAGTGAATAAACATGCTTACGGTTCACTTTTTTCCACCTTCAAACCAAGCCTCCCTCGGCTCATAATCACAGATTTTTTTTCTTCATTGTATCAGCTCACGTCCTAATAATGAAAAGGTTTTGGCTGTTGATAAATGTTGACATGTTGAAAATGTTAGAATTTAATGTTTAAAATTTGTGATTTTAAAAAATATATATGGTTAACTCACAGCTTATATTATTTATACTTAGAACACTCGTGAAACAGCCCAGGCCATTAAGGGTATGCATATCCGAAAAGCCACTAAGTATCTGAAGGATGTCACTTTAAAGAAGCAGTGTGTGCCATTCCGTCGCTACAATGGTGGAGTTGGTAGGTGTGCCCAGGTGAGAATTCATAGTTGTCATTTAAAAAGACAAACTGTTAGAGAAGGTGATTGGAGGGAGTAAGGATGGCCATGGTCTGCCTTTAATCAGGCTCTTTCTGGTTGCTGTGATGACAGTCTTAGGACACCTTTGGATTAACCATGAAAAAAAACCATTTTCTGAGCAACCTTGGTGTTGGTTAAAATAAACTCATCTTGTAACATTGATTTAAATTGGGGGTAGTGACGAATGGGCTCTCTGGTTTTGTTTGTTTTTTAGGCCAAACAGTGGGGCTGGACGCAGGGTCGGTGGCCCAAAAAGAGTGCTGAATTTTTACTGCACATGCTCAAAAATGCAGAGAGTAATGCTGAACTTAAGGTACCCAAACCATAAATATCTTTATACATGTAACTTGGATTGTTACTCAGTTAAAGTTGCTGTTGTCCAGATTTATTTCCTTGATTGTCTTGCTTTCTCAAGTAGCTAAATTCTCCATTAAAAGAATTCTCTTAAATCTCTACCTCCAGTTTCCAACAGACCAAAATTTTTGTCTGTAAAGCATTTCAGGAGCATGGTCTGCAGTTACTTCAAGCTTAAGTCTTTAGAATTTCCCCCCCTATAATCCCAGTACATGCAAAAGAAACGCTTTTTTTTCCTTGAGTATTTTACCAAGGGTTTGTAAACTTTCTTGTGCCATGGACTGTTTTACACTATGGTTTGTGAATCCCTTCACAGGATATTTTTAAATACAATAAAATATGTACTATTCCAAAGGAACTGTGATTGCCACAGTAATGATTAATGTGGTTTGTTGCCTACATTCATAGTTGAGAGGCATTAAATTTCAGTTAGAAGTTAAAACAGCTATGTTTAACTGAACAAAACCTGTGTCAACAAAACAGGTTTATCCATTTGAGGAATTATCTGTTACCCTTTTGCATTTTGAAAATTGGGTCAGAACTGGAATTAATGTGGGTCTGTTCAGCTGTAGCCTTTCTAGCTGCTAAGCCTTGCTGTCAAAATCCTGTTTATCATCAAGGCTTAGAAATAGACATAGACGCTACCAGATCCTGTAACTCCACTCCTTTATGAATGCCACTTACAAACTTGGTGCATTTAGCACGGAGTTTTGCTAGTTAGATTTAAGGAAGGACACTTAGAATAAAGGTTAAAAAACTGCTTGAACAAATATGCTATTTAAAGTCCTAAGGTTTGCCTTTCAAATTATTTTTTTTCAGGCAGGGACTTGAATGATGCAGTTTGTGGTATTAAGATAAAGATGTTACCTGATTTTGTTCTAGGGCTTAGATGTAGATTCTCTGGTCATTGAGCACATCCAGGTGAACAAAGCCCCCAAGATGCGGCGCAGGACTTACAGAGCTCATGGTCGGATCAACCCATACATGAGCTCTCCGTGCCACATTGAGATGATCCTTACTGAAAAAGAACAGATTGTTCCTAAACCAGAAGAGGAGGTTGCCCAGAAGAAAAAGGTATGTTAGATTTGTGGTTGCTGTGATGACTAACTTAGGACACCTTTGGAATAACCATGAAAGACTATTCTGAGCAACCAGCAACCTCTTCTAACCATTTTATTTTGGCTTTCATGGGTCTCATTAGTTTCTTGATTAACAGTGAATAGTAACTTTGTATTGTTCAGTATGTTAAAACCATGTGATTATCTGCTTATGTCCCCACCTAGATGTCCATAGCCAGTTGAAATGCAACATGTCCAGAACTGGGCTCTCCTCCCTGCCCCCCAATAAGCTTGTTTTCAGTATATGATTACATTTAGTTCTTTAAGCCTGAAACCTGGGAGTGATTCTTCACACCCTAATGGATTTGTCTTCTATTGATTTTATCATTAAATATTAATCCTCCATCCTTGCTGCCACTTAGTTCTTACCAGCTGGGCACCGTGGCTGCAGTCTTGGTTCTCTCCTGCTTACTACTCTGATGTCCTCCTGGCTGCCCTTCTCCCCATACCACTTCTCTACGCCAAAGGACTCTTTATGTTTTTCCCTTTATGTTGAAATTTCCAATTACTCTTTCATTGAGATACAATCTTCTGGAATCTTAATAGTGCTTTTTTCTTTTCCCCAGATATCCCAGAAGAAATTGAAGAAACAAAAACTTATGGCCCGGGAATAAATGCTGCAAAAAATAAATGCAAATAAAAGTAAAAGCAGAGTGTTGGTTGTCTTAATTAGTAAATCTATTTCAAGTGTTGTCACAAAATGGATCAAATGAGTTTTCATAAAACATGCTGTTTTGCATCTTTTGTTGCTTTGCGTAAAATGGAATTAGAACATGGGGAAATTTCTGAATCTCTTTTCCACCCACTTTGAGATTTAACACACTGTACAGTCTTCAGTAGCATTTAGTATATTCATTTATGCATCCGTCAGCACAGTGAATTTTAGAGTTTTTCATGATCCCAAAGAGGAACCTTCGTAGTGGTTGGCTGTCACCTCCCCCCAGTCCGGTGCTGGGTGACTACTTGCCTATTTCTGACTGTAGATTTGCCTATTCTGGACAATTCATATAAATGAAATCACATTGTGACCTTCCTCACTGGCTTTGACTTGCTTGACTTAGCATGATTTTTTCAGGGTCGTAGCATGTACCTGTGGTTCATATCATTTGGGGCTTTTTTTCTTTTAGCTACTACTAGTGTTGCTGTGAACTATAAAAATTCCTGTGTGGGCATATTTTCCTTTCACTTGGGTGTATACCAAGAGTGGAATTCCAGGGTCATAAGGTAATTTTAATGAACATTGGAGGAACTGCAAGGACTCCTGAAGCAGTGCCGTTTACAGTGCGACCAGCAGTGGTTCGAATTTCTTCATCGCTTAGATTTCGCTGGTTATAGCTGTCCTAGTGGGAGGAAAGTTGTATACCCATTTCTTGTAAAAATACCCGCTCAAGGCTGACGATGTTAATTTCCCCTGCTCTCGAATTTAAGACCCTTATAGCAGGGTGAGTAGCTTAGCTTCAACTGCGTTCGAAAACATCCTAGCCATCACCGCAAGCTTCCCTGTTGGTGCTGAGTCACCGGTACAGGCGCTTATCCTCTCCTGGGTCCGCGTCGTAGATCTTGTTCCAGTGACCGGGCAACTGGGGAGCACAGCGCTTCCGCCTCGCCCGCAAGCTCTAAGCTGATTGCCGGGGCTGCGCCGGAAGCCGCCGCTGGCGTCACCGTTACGTCGGGTGCGTCATCAGGCTGACGCAGGCGCGCCTTTGTCGGTCCCTCTTGCGGTACCCATTGGGTTGGCTGCGGCACGTCACCCAGCGACCCTCCCTCCGGAAGCCTGGACACTGCCACTGGGGCTTGGTGGCCGCGGGTGAGCGGGGCCGGGTGGGTCCGGGCTGCGGCCGGGGCTTCGGGGTTCTCCTGCCCTCAAGGTACACCAGCGCCCCCGCCCTGTGCCTCCCCCTGCGTCGGTCTCCACCCCTTCCTGCCTCCGTCCGCCTCTCTTTGCTTCAGGATCCGCTCTCTGGCCTGCAGTGTCGGTATCACTTTTTATCGTCGTCGCCACCATTCGCTCGTACTCTCCCCTGTCTTTCAGTCCTTGCCTTTGACTTAGCCTCTCCCGCTCTCTTTTGTCTCCAGTGAAGTGATCCGCCGACTGGTCACGTAGAGGAAGTGGCGTACCCCCGCCACAGCTGCTCTTGTTCTCGTAGAGCCTCCGCCTTTTCCTGTTCCATTGTATTGGACTAAGTCGAATGCAAGAAATTCCTCTCCTCCACGTTTCAATCCATCTTTCTCGCTGTGTTGTATATTCGAGAATTGGCTTGGAGAGAGTAAATAAAATCATGATTTTATCAATTTATCACAGTCACTTTCTAGACCTTTCTAAGCCATAATTATAACAAAAGTAATCAGTACTAATTGTTCTTGAGAATTCATTTAAAGCACAATTTCAAGTAGGTAAAAACCTGAATCTTTATGATGGAGGGATTGCTTGTCATCGTATTAGCTTAGTGCTCGGTAGCATTGCCAGTTGTTTTGAAGGGTTTTAGTTGCATTTGAAAGTTTGGTAGAAAGGGGAATAACATAATTATCGTGTTTGGGGGAGAGAAAATGCAAGAGCACTAAGCTAGGAAACCAGAATTAGGAATTCTGGTTTTAGCCAGTTCTAGTTACTTGTTACCTGCAGTGTGAACTTTGGACAGGTTACAACTTTTGGATGTGTTTGGGATTTGTTTTGTTTTTTTTCTTATGGTAGCAACATTTACGTAGTACTTAATATATGCAGACACTGTTCTGAGCTTTGTATTCCTATTAATGTATCTCATCCACACTACATCCCTGTGAGATCGGTACTATTATTGTCCACTTTTTACGCAAGGGACAATTAAGGCACCGTCTGGTTAAATAATTTGCTCAGGAGCGCCATCTAGAAAATGGTGAAAGCAGGGCTCAAATCCAGGCAGCTGCCAGCCATCCTGTTTGATTATCATGCTATGGTACCTAAACCAGTAAGAAGTCTTTTCAGATCATATTCTAAATGTCTAGTAGCCAAAAATTATGATTTCTTGAAAAATGCTGAAAAAGACTCTTGCTCGTTTGGCTTATTTTGATTGATTCTTTAAAATTTTGGAACAAAATATTTGGGCAAATTCTAAAATTATTTTTATTTGTCTAGGGGACTGTTTTAAAGACTCCAGTTATGAATCCCTTATAAAAGAGTTGGTCATTCCCTGATACACATTTACATTTTTATTTGTTTACAGCTCTTGTAATTCATTTCAAAGCCACATTCAGATTGGACTATGTATACCACTCTTCACTTGGGTTGTGAATCATTTTAAATTGCCTGAGCGTAGCAGTACTTGCTCATTTACCACTAAATACTACTTAGCTTACAATATTTTGAAAATAAGTTTAACATGCTGAATTCTTAGCCTTATGCACTGTTCTCAAGTTTCTTAGTTTTTAAAGCCTTTGCTAAGGGATTAAAAATTCTTGTAAATTTAAGAGGTCTTCGGTTTAATTGTGTTATGGAAGTAGTGTTGGCTCTTTTTCAAGAAATTGCTGATCTTGAGAAATTCCAAGTTGACTTCTAATTATCAAGGAAACTTAGGTGTTCATTTTTGGAAATGGACAATTGACTTATACCAATATTACTAAATAAAACTTTTATTACTCAGTACCCCTTTATTGCCATTAAAAAGAAAAAGCAAATCTGTCAAGGGAGAGTTGTTGGCTGGGAAAGGCCAGCCAGTATGCAGCCTAGAGGTCTTCCAAAGTGATATCTTAGTGAGTTCCATATTACAAGATTTGCCCTTAGCATTGTTCAGTCCCTGGAGATGATTAGGCCCTGGGAGTTAATTCACACTAAACTGGCGTATGTCAAAATTACCAAATTCCTTAATGTTTTTGTGCCTCCTTTTCTTTATCCGTAAATGGAAATGCCAGGGTAACCAACCTCACTGGGTGTTTTGAAGATTAAATGAGTTGATACATGTAAAGGGCTTAACTGCCTAGCACCCCGCAAATGATGGTGTCATTCCTTTATCATCAAATTTATGGTTGTGGAGCAGTGATTGGAGAGGTTTGGAGGCAGGCACCTCACTATTATTTTCAGGTCTACCACCTGTTATTCCTTTACCTTGTAGTTAGCAGCATTTTTATTTAATAGACTTGCTTTAAGCTAATACCTATAGTGTGATTTAAGTTTTTCCTTCAGTGTAGAAATAGTCTTTTCATATATCTTAATCTAGGTAAATTCCTTCAGTCACTACTCTACGATGATCTAATTTGTTCTTTCTTCTTGTTTATCAACAGTTCAGGATCTCAAGCCTGGGACAATGGTGTGCATTCCCTGCATTGTCATTCCAGTTCTGCTCTGGGTCTACAAAAAGTTCCTGGAACCATATATATACCCTCTGATTTCCCCCTTTGTTAGTCGTGTGTGGCCTAGGAAAGCTATACAAGAATCCAATGATAAAAACAAAGGCAAAATAGACTCTAAGGTAAGAATACTAAAATGCCTTGAATAAGGGGGCGTGGGGATGCAGGATGAAATACTTGGCTTTTGGAAAGGCAAGTTCTTCCAATCAGAAGCTTCATTAATGTGTCTAAATTCCCTTCTTTTTTAAAATAGGGGTTTTGGATTTTTATTTGTAATTAACGTTTGCTTTAAACTAAGGTTTTAAACTAGTCCTCTGATTGATTCATTTGCTTCTTGCTTTATGGCCAAGATAATAACCGGTATTTCCTGAGTGGTAAGAGTAATGGTAAATAGTTAATAAAAGACAAGAGATGATTCTAAAATAAGCCAAGTTTCACTGACTGATAACTTTGATAAGAGATTTAATTGGTAGGATCATAGAGGTTTTTTTTTTTTTTAACAAAATGGAGTTATTTTTTTAAATGAGTATTTAGACAACTCTGTTGTCTTTAGTGTTGGTGATTGTTAAATACAACTTTGTGTTCAATTGCACAAATTCAGCCATCCTGCACATTTCTAGAAGTAGTTTTTCCATTCTGAAGTTATTGTCTGTTTTTAAAGAGTATATGTCTTAAAATGTATGTCTGTTTGTTGTAATAGTATCTAAAGTGGTTTTTCATTTTAGGGTGCAGACATAAATGGATTACCGACAAGAGGACCAACAGAAATCTCGGATAAAAAGAAAGACTAATGTGATGGTCCCAAAGGATCTCATTGTTTTAAAAATGGATCTGATAGTATGAAGCACCTTCTTTGTACTTGTCTCTGATCTTTTTCCCTGAAACCAGAATTTGGGTTAGATAGTTTAGATATTTACCTGACACTAATCAGGAAATACCTGGTATTTGTATTCAAATGTAACTAGTTATATTTAATGACCTCATTCCTGAGTTCCATTTTCATTAAAGTAGCTTTCATTTCTTTTATTGCATTTTTAAAAATATGAATGAAGAAAAGGTTTGTGCCAGTAGACACTGTTACTAAATCAGTCCCTAAAAATCCTTGGGCCTCTAGCTTTTATTCAGGCTCTTCAAATTTGAGGAGTATAATTTTACTGTGAAAGAGTGCAGTGAGACTGTGCAGTGAATTGAAAGGTAGTTTTTGGAGATGATAATGACTTGAAACATAAAGATGTAATTACTGTCTCATTCAATGGAGCAGCTTATCTATGAGAGTAGTAATTACTGTTTATTGCTCTGAGGAAGATAGAAAAGACAGGGAAATGGGGTAACCTCTCTGAAAAATGGAACATCTTTGACGTAAATGGCTAATGTATATTATAAAATTCTAATTCTTGTCGCATTCCTTCTGTTCCTACAAATGTATTAAATATTCAGTTTAGCTTGTTCTTTTTTCTTTTAAAATATAAATACTTAAAAGTAAGATTTTTTAACCACATCAGAAGTCAGGATTGTAATAGTGTGATGGCATCTGGATAGTTATGGGGCAGCGATATTTTTTTTCTTCTTCTTTTTTTTTAAAGTTTAGATTGTATCAGTTACTTTGTTCCATAATAAGACACCAAAATTCGTGGTTTTCAGCAACAGTGATGTGACTGGACAGTTATTTGCTGGTTTGAGCCTCTCCACATGATCTTTCATCCCCAGGCCTCTACATGTTAGTGTAAGGATCTATAAATATTCAAAGACGATGAGACATATCTTTACAGAATATTTATTTTCACTGAAGCAAGGAGAAGTTAGAAAGGACTCCCCGCCTTGGGTCCCCAGGGGAGTCCTGGGTCCTAACTGAGGCTCTGTTAAGCTGTGTCTGGTCAAGTCATTGATCCACCTTGGACTTCCTTTGATATAAATGTGTTTCATCTTTTCTGCCCCAGCCTACCTAAGGGATAAGATAAATTCTCATTAGTAACTAAATCCAGTTAATTAGTTTGTTTTTTAAGATATTAAAAACTATGTTATGAAAATAGCAGATGTTCATAGTAGAACAATGCAAGGGCAGGTTAAATGAAAAGTTAATGTTCTTTCTCTACTCTCATTCCTTTGTTCTAGCTCCACAGATGTAACCACTATTAGCTTTTTGTATAGCCTTCTAGCAACTTTCTTAAAATATATCATTTTTTAAAAATCAAATAAGGTCTATAATGTCCTTACTCCCATAGTCCCCAAGGGCTTTACTCATTTAGCTCTTGCTTTTGTTTAGGATTTATCTTCATATTTTAAGTGATACATGTATACTGCAGTTTTTGGAGCTATCAACTTTAAACATTATTGACTTCCTGCCATGGTTGAGATATAGGTGTTTTACACTGTAGTCCCTCTGCTTCTCCCACACATCCTCCAGATATGTTTTTGTAAATTTTGGTTAAGTCATTGATCAGTGTGTATATCATTATGCATACTCCAGATGTTTTCCATTTGCCCCTCCAAATCTCTGCTCCCTCACCCTACTCTCCTGCTCAAGAAAGCTGTATGGACTACATCAACAGGCTTCCTATGACCTCTGGGATCTCTTGGTTTGGCCAGTGGTATCTGCAGCAGGAGATGGGAGGGAGGGAAGGAAAGAGTTTTGTTCCATAATAAGACACCAAAATTCGTGGTTTTCAGCAACAGTGATGTGACTGGACAGTTATTTGCTGGTTTGAGCCTCTCCACATGATCTTTCATCCCCAGGCCTCTACATGTTAGTGTAAGGATCTATAAATATTCAAAGACGATGAGACATATCTTTACAGAATATTTATTTTCACTGAAGCAAGGAGAAGTTAGAAAGGACTCCCCGCCTTGGGTCCCCAGGGGAGTCCTGGGTCCTAACTGAGGCTCTGTTAAGCTGTGTCTGGTCAAGTCATTGATCCACCTTGGACTTCCTTTGATATAAATGTGTTTCATCTTTTCTGCCCCAGCCTACCTAAGGGATAAGATAAATTCTCATTAGTAACTAAATCCAGTTAATTAGTTTGTTTTTTAAGATATTAAAAACTATGTTATGAAAATAGCAGATGTTCATAGTAGAACAATGCAAGGGCAGGTTAAATGAAAAGTTAATGTTCTTTCTCTACTCTCATTCCTTTGTTCTAGCTCCACAGATGTAACCACTATTAGCTTTTTGTATAGCCTTCTAGCAACTTTCTTAAAATATATCATTTTTTAAAAATCAAATAAGGTCTATAATGTCCTTACTCCCATAGTCCCCAAGGGCTTTACTCATTTAGCTCTTGCTTTTGTTTAGGATTTATCTTCATATTTTAAGTGATACATGTATACTGCAGTTTTTGGAGCTATCAACTTTAAACATTATTGACTTCCTGCCATGGTTGAGATATAGGTGTTTTACACTGTAGTCCCTCTGCTTCTCCCACACATCCTCCAGATATGTTTTTGTAAATTTTGGTTAAGTCATTGATCAGTGTGTATATCATTATGCATACTCCAGATGTTTTCCATTTGCCCCTCCAAATCTCTGCTCCCTCACCCTACTCTCCTGCTCAAGAAAGCTGTATGGACTACATCAACAGGCTTCCTATGACCTCTGGGATCTCTTGGTTTGGCCAGTGGTATCTGCAGCAGGAGATGGGAGGGGGGGAAGGAAAGAGTGAGGTCAGGGTATTTATTCCCTTGGCTCCTTCCCTTCAAGGTCTCTTCAGGTCAGATGTGTTCCTCAGCCAGAAGTCACTGTACCTCACGGTGACCAACTCCACATGACCCCTTTCAGTTTCCACTAATACCTCCCTTTCCTTGTCTTTTTGGGCCTAGGGTTGATGGCATCTGTTACTACTGGCTTTGGGTCACTGCTTTATCTTGAGCGTACCATCTGCTTCTTGCTGGACACTGATAGGATGAGCAGGTGACTACTGCTCACTGCATAGATTGTGAGTGTAGTGCGATTGAGTTTCCCTTCACTTAGAGCATTGCTTGCCTGCAGTTACTCATTACCTTTTTCTCCCCGTACACTTCCTCCATTGACTAGTTGTTGCCCAGGCCCGAGACACAGTGGCAGTCCTTGGGACTTTTCTTCACCACTCCTGTGTTGGATCTCTTGTTCCTTGGATCCCATATCTTCCTCTGTTGGTTTACTCCTTCATTTTTCCTGTAGCATACCAGTTTTTCTAATTCAGTACTCTTAAAAAGTTGAGATGGATAATTTTGAAAAGTGATCCCCCAGATCACTCCAGTTTGTTTAAACCTACCTTCCTGAGAATCACCGGTCTTCTAAGGCCTTTTCTGCTTCTAGCAGTCTCCCACTAGAGCACTGGTTCCCAATCTTGTATTTTCACATACTAGTAAAAAAATATTTTTTAAAAAGTTGAGGGGGCTGCTACACCGTTACCAACTTTTTATTTTGCCAAGCGGGAATATATTAAAAGGCTGTGACTTATTATCACCATTATTTCATAAAAGAAGACATTTTGACACCAAAAGAGTGAAGAGGAACATGGGAATAAAGGATAATAGCTCATTAGTGTGAATACATTTATAAAAGATATCTTTGTTTTCGTGAGAAATTCACAATTTTGTCCATATTTTTCTTTCTTTTTTTTTTTTTTGTCAAAAGCTTTTTCTGCATCTCTTGAGATGATCATATGGTTTTTATTCTTCAATTTGTTAATATGGTATATCACATTGATTGTGTATATTGAAGAATTCTTGCATCCCTGGGATAAATCCCACTTGATCATGGTGTATGATCCTTTTAATGTGTTGTTGGATTCTGTTTGCTAGTATTTTGTTGAGGATTTTTGCATCTCTATTCATCAGTGATATTGGTCTTTAATTTTCTTTTTTGGTAGTATCTTTGTCTGGTTTTGGTATCAGGGTGATGGTGGCCTCATAGAATGAGTTTGGGAGTGTTCCTTCCTCTGCAATTTTTTGTAAGAGTTTGAAAAGAATGGCTGTTAGCTCTTCTCTAAGTGTTTGGTAGAATTCACCTGTGAAGCCAGGTGGTCCTGGACTTTTGTTTGTTGGGAGATTTTTAATCACAGTTTCAATTTCATTGCTTGTGATTGGTCTGTTCATATTTTCTATTTCTTCCTGGTTCAGTCTTGGAAGATTATACCTTTCTAAGAATTTGTCCATTTCTTCCAGGTTATCCATTTTATTGGCATAGAGTTGCTTATAGTAGTCTCTTAGGATGCTTTGTATTTCTGCGGTGTCTGTTGTAACTTCTCCTTTTTCATTTCTAGTTTTATTGAGTCCTCTCCCTCTTTTTCTTGATGAGTCTGGCTAATGGTTTATCAATTTTGCTTATCTTCTCAAAGAACCAGCTTTTAGTTTTATTGATCGTTGCTATTGTTTTCTTTGTTTCTATTTCATTTATTTTTGCTCTGATCTTTGACTTTTTTCCTTCTGCTAACTTTGGGTTTTATTTGTTGTTCTTTCTCTAGTTCCTTTAGGTGTAAGGTTAGATTGTTTATTTGAGATTTTTCTTGTTTCTTGAGGTAGGCTTGTATAGCTATAAACTGCCCTCTTAGAACTGCTTTTGCTGCATCGCATAGGTTTTGGATCATCATGTTTTCATTGTCATTTGTCTCTAGGTATTTTTTGATTTCCTCTTTGATTTCTTCAGTGATCTCTTGGTTATTTAGTAACGTATTGTTTAGCCTCCATGTGTTTGTGTTTTTTATATTTTTCTCCCTGTAATTCACTTCTAGTCTCATAGTGTTGTGGTCAGAAAAGATGCTTGATATGATTTCAATTTTCTTAAATTTACTGAGGCTTGATTTGTGACCCAAGATGTGATCTATCCTGGAGAATGTTCCATGCGCACTTGAGAAGAAAGTGTAATCTGCTGTTTTTGGATGGAATTTAAAGCTTCTGTTTCCTTATTTATTTTCATTTTGGATGATCTGTCCATTGGTGTAAGTGAGGTGTTAAAGTCCCCCACTATTGTGTTACTGTCCATTTCCTCTTTTATAGCTGTTAGCAGTTGCCTTATGTATTGAGGTGCTCCTATGTTGGGTGCATATATATTTATAATTGTTATATCTTCTTCTTGGATTGATCCCTTGATCATTATGTAGTGTCCTTCCTTG